TGTGGCCAGCTCAGCCCACCAGGGGGTGGGGCTGGCTGGCATGTGGTGCTGGGGGATTGAACTGCGGTCCCTGTGCTCTGCTAAGCTTGTTCTAAGTAGGTGCTTTAGACCACTGAGCCATCTCACCAGCCCAGCCTTTAATTATTTTACTGAAAGACCAAAAATGGCACAGGACATGCGGCCTCTGGCCCTTTAAGATAGTCACGTGGTTCTGAAGCTTGTGTTGAAAGCCACAGCAGGCTAAGTTCCAAGTGCCCATTGGGAGCACGCAGGGAGGAAAGCAGATGCCCCCAGATAACTGCGCCACAACACGCCTTTTTGCTCCTTCTTTATGACTACACACGGCATGGATGCCGGAGCCAGGTTGGGAGGCCACAGCCACCATGGGTTTCCTGGGATCGGTCATACTGAAGGTTCCTGCATTTGAACTTCAGCCCAGAGGCCTGTGTGGCAAGCCAGGGGACTTGGACCACACAGACTCCAGCACAATGCACATTCAGGCAAACATGGTCCTTCAGTGCCTGGACAAAATAGCATCAGTAAGAAGGCGACAGAGAGCATTTCAGTCATAAGGAGCTCCGAGCCGGTACAAAGCAGGCCAACGGGCTACGCTGCCTCCGCCTGGCCCCCAGCCACAGGCCTGCTCCAGCCCCCTGCCAGTTGCTGCTGCACCTGCAAGTGCAGGGCCAAGCTGCGCGCTGCTGGATCTGAAAGCCTCTAACGCAGGGACACAGGTCACCTTCCCTTGGACAGTAGCTCACTGCTTTGCACATGGGGCTCTTAAAAATTATGGTGATTGGTAAAGAGATTCTTGACACTGGAGGTTCCTTTCTCAGGTAACTACAAAATGTATGTGGGGGGAAAAAAGGAAAAACACGCTTTTTACTCCTTGCTAAAGTTTCTAGCAGAAGCAGACAATACAGTGGCCCTCTAATTCATCACAGTACTGCCGCAAAAGTAGAAGCAGCTTGGCGCCACAGCTCCCTGACCCCGGTTTTGTTTAATTGAAAATGTGATATTGCCGGTTACATCTGGGATTGTAGAGCTCTAAATATCCAGAAGGAAGCAATAATTAAGGCCAAAGAAGACAGAAGGTGGAAAGGGTAAAAATCAATTAGCGCAGCACAGATCGAGGTCCCCCAAGTTCCAATCCGCCATCTCTGGTTGCTTCGCAGGGCTCCCCTCAAGTTGCCCCTCCCCAAAAAAAAGGAAAACCCGAAAGCAGCACACTGGTGAAAAGGGCGAGGTCTGTAGCCATGGATATAGACACCTAGTGGAGAGACACAGCGGGGAGCAGTGGACCTGAACTCATCTCTCAAAGACTGACCCTTCAGAGCTAGGGTCCCCCACCAAAACCCCACAAGGCCTAGAAACAAGCTTATTTCTTGACTATAAGAAGGTTTTGAAAAATCCTGTTGCTTAGGATGAGCTTTAGACTGAACAGAATTAAGGTATTCATTTCACATGTTTTAATATTTTAAAATATTTTTCTAAATACTTCATTTTAATGTTATAGCCTATTTCAGAGCTAGATCTGTACATGGAAAATAGTGTTTTACGCATGTACTTACTCTGAATTATATATGAAGGATAATAGGAACAGTAATATAAAAAATTAAGGATTATCCAAGAAGCTATTTAGATTTAATTTCCTAAATGTTTTATTTATAATTCCTTTCTTTCCTTTTTTTTCCCCCGCAGAACTGGGGATTGAACTCAGGCCCTTGCGCTGGCCAGGTAAGCACTTATTCTACTGAGCCATCTCCCAGGCTTACTTATAATTCCTAATGGGCTCATCCTTCTAACTCTCAGATTGTTTTTTTGGTTTTGTTTTTGTTTTCTCTGCGGTACCGGGAATTGAACTCAGGACCCTGCGCTTGCCAGGTAGGCACTTATTTTACTGAGCTATCTCCCGGGCCCAGCTCACTCTCAGATTGTTTTACATCTTAAGTTCAGAATCACTGCAAAACCCAAGGCAACTGTGCTACCAAACAGCTGCTCTGTGAACATGTGTGGGGCTAGGGGGTCGCTTAAAGGTGTGGGCCAGATGGCCTGTGTGCCCCTCACGCCCTAGTGCCACTGGACATCACCCAGATGCCACTTGGGCAGTGGCAGCGGCCACTCAAGGACTTGTTTGCTCTCAGGTTCTCACTGCATGCTCTGAGTGATGGAGGGTATCAGCGAGACAACCCTGGGATAGGCCAAATGTCTGAGCTGATGGAACTGAAGCCTGCAGCTGGCAAGGCGCCATATGTCTGCGAGGCAGAACAGGGGGAGCAGCTTCCTCCAACTGACACAGGCCTCTCAGAAAGCACTGAACTCCCGCGCAGGTGTGTGTCACTGGACAGTTCGCACACACAGGTGTGCACCTGGCTGGAAGTCTTAAGCAATGAGCATGCACATTTACGAGTGGGTACGGGCAGGGGAGGGAACGTCTGCATGGAGCTCTAAGTTTCAGGCTTAGTAGCCGTAGCTTCCCACAGCTCCTCCCACAATTCCTAGTGCATACCCAAGAGTGAGCTGCCCGAGCCAACACCTGCAAAGACATTCTCACTTTTGCCGGAGCTTCTGGACAAAGTCCAAGTTCCCAGCATTCCTAAGCACGTCTGTTTACCTCATTGATTTTAATATAAGTTTTTTTTCTTTTTAATTAAAACCACTTTCTACTTAGCTGGCTGTGGTGGCACATGCCTATAATCTCAGTCAAAAGACTGAGGCACGAGGACCAGTACAAGTTCAAGGTCAGCCTGAACTAGACTGCAGGGCCCTAGTTCAAACAAACAAACAAAACTCCCTTCTATTTAAGAAAACTAGTTTTCTCTTTTTTTAATTTTTTTGAGAAAAGGTCTCACTGTATAGTCCTGGCTGGTCTTGAACTCATTATGTAGCCCAGGCTGGTCTTAAACTCACAGCAATCCTCCTGCGTCAGCCTCTGGAGTGCTAGGATTACAGGTATGCACCACCATGCCTGGCTAAGAAAACTAGTTTTCTTCACTACTTACTTAAACCCATGTACCCACAGTGAGTCCCAGCTACCTAGAGACTCAGGCAGGAGAATTGCTTAAGCCCATGAATCAGAGACCAGTCTGGGAGCCATATATTGAGATCACTTCTGAAAAAAAACAAGTAAGTAAAAAATAAGCCCAGGTTCTGATAAACCATGACAAAAGTATTCACAGAAAATACTGCTTAGCACAGTAACCCAAGTTTCTAGGATGCCACTGAATACACTTACCTTGTTGGCCACCGCATTTACACTGGGTCTTGCATCATAGATGGTGAGTTTGGAATTCTGTTTATTAGTCTCCCTGATGGCATCGAGATATTTCTCATCATCTTTATTTCGTTTTCCACTCATACCAACAAGAGGCTGACTGCACCGCACAATGGCTGTCTTGTTTTCAGGATGAATCCACGACAGCACCTATGATTAGTTCAGAAAGCTTAAGAAACAAAGTCTCAAGACAACAAAGCCAGGTACGGTGGCGCAAATCTGAGGCAGGAGGACTGCTGTCAGTTTGAGGCCATCCCGGGCCACATAATGAGTCTGAGACCGGCCTGATCTACAGTGTGAGACCCTGTCTCAAAAACCTAAAACCAAAACAAAACAATTAAAGCAAAAATATGAAGCAGTGTCAATGACAAGGAAGTGGCTGACTTACACAATCCACAGGTCCATCGTGTACCTGCCTGGCAACACTGCACTTAGGAACAACTGGATCGACCAGCTGCTGTCGCGCCTTTCTCAGTCAGCACCCTATCTAACAGAGATGAAGTGTGCACTTTGCAAAAGGCTAGCTCGCTTAGAAGAACCAGAACCGTTCCGATGTTACATGAAGCCCACAGATTGCACGGGGCTTCGCTGTCATACGGAAACAGCTTTAGTCATAAGCGAGATGGAAGGACATCGTCTCTGGTGCAGTGCAGTGCTCGGAATATGCACTCGTGTCTGCAGCTCATGCTCGCAGCAGCTTTACGTCTGGAATCTAATGGAGGAGGAAGGAAACCCCAGGGAAGCAAAGTTCTCGGAGCTGCATACCCACAACAGGGAACTGCCTAGCCTACAACGCAGATTGTGAGGAAACTCTCGGAAGACACGCGGAAGGCCAGCACAGTAGGACGGTCATTGCTGCAGGATGACAATTCACTGACTACTTCAGAAGAGCTGCTGGAGAGGATTTCCAATGTTCCCAATATGAAGTAGAGAAAAATATCTGAGGTGATGCTGTATCACTTGGCCTCATGTTTTCAGGACGCGTTATAGATGCTGAAATGGCACATTGTGCCCTATAAATATATACAGTTACTGTGGGTCTCTTAAAAATAATACTACTATGGCTGGGTGTGGTGGCGCACTCCTGCAGCCCCAGCACTCAGGAGGCTGAGGCGAGAGGACTGCTGTAAGTGTGAGGCTAGCCTGGGCTGCATGGGGGAATTCCAGGCTATTTGAATTACACAGCAAGGCCATATCTCAAAAAAAAAGCTACATGTGGGTGTGTGCACGTGTGTCCATACATATCTTACATGTCTCTGTGTGTGAGCGAAGCAGGCAGGGCTGGGGAAGTATGCTGCGGTGGGCACTAGCTATGGTTCTGAGCACAGACACTCTGCCTTGGTCCAAAGGGGATGACAACAATGGCCTGAGCAGGCTGTAGGGAGGAAGAAGGGGGAGTATCACATGCTATCAGTGAGGGTTCACATCAGCTTGCAGTGGCAGCCGGGCAGTGAGGAAGGTCAGGCCACAGCCGATGGCATGCAGGCCAAGAGGAAAAAAAGCAGGAGCATGTGGGCTTGCTCCATAGCAGACTAAGTAGCTCAACCTGTCCAGTCAGCCCTGAAGATGACAAGAGACAGACACAGTGACGCCTACTATAATGACAATGGACACTGGGGCAAAGATGATTCCATAAGAAAGCACCCTTTATTCTCTTGGCTGCAGACCCAGCATGCAAGTCCCTGTGCCACATCAGAGGCCACCCAAACACCACTGTGGCCCTGGCCCAGTGGTCAAAAGGCTCCGAACCAGGACCCTGAGAACAGGAGCTGCCTGCCCTAACCTGCCAGGGCTGAGCACCTGCCATCACCCTCCCAGTGCCGGACAGGCAAGACAGGAAGTCACCTTGAGAAAAGCATGCCTACACATTCGAGACAGGCCCTCACTGAGGTGGCCAGTGGCAAGACAATGGCCTCTGCCGATGTGTGCCATTCCCCACCTTCTCCTTGTCTCCCCTCCTGAAGTCCTTCTGGGTGGCATTCTAAGGCCCATGTCAAAGGATGCTCACTGGAGAGCTGAATGGGGCGGTAACACGCATTTCACAGCATCGACTCCTAGGGGACTTCTCAAAGTAGACGTACTCTGGTGTATTACACATAAGCATTACCTAGAAGCCACATATAATTAAGGATGTATGTGAAAATCTGCTACCCGAAAGATGGATACCACAGCAGTGTACGTAAGAGCAAAAGATTAAAAAGCTTAAACAGTGAATGGTTTCTCTTATCTGAGAAATGCAAAGCAGAAATGAAGAGGCAGAAGAAGAGATAGATGATAGGAAAGCAGGACTCTTGTGAAAGGGAAAGGAGCGAAGGGATGGGGGATGGAAGCCGGGAGGGAGGGCGGCGAGAAACGAAGGCCGATGTGTGATGGCCATGTACCAAGTACCGCAAGCCCGGACTAACAAAAAAGGAACACTGAAAAGGATTAAAAGGCACGCAGACACCACACAAAAGACAAAGGCTAAATCTCAGCACATCTACACATCAGACTTACCTGTGAGCGTGTTGGCTATGATACTGCCGGGCAAGCCAGAAGGGCGGTGGCAGAGGGGGCTCGAGAGACGGAGGGAGGGGTGAGAGGAGAACGAGAGGGGATGCAAAAAGGAACAGGGCGTGCTCTGAGCAGAGTGCACCAACACTACGTACTGCGAAAAGGACTCATAAAGATCAATACATAAATATCACTAGGGATACTAAAGAGAGGAACACAAATTATAAACTAATTTCATTTTCTGAATAAATAAATAAATAAATAAGTGCACAGGAGAAACTCTGGAAAGCTATACAGCAAAATGGTAACAGTAGTCCTCACTAGGTGGCAGGCTTCTTTTTGCTTATCTGTATCTTCTCAAACATCTGAAACAGACTTCCATAAAATTAAGAAAAACTTGTTTGAGAGCAAAGGAATATGTGTTGATCAACAGAAACATTGATGCATGTGGGTTATTTCATTACTCCATGATTCTGTATTATCAATTATTATGTCTGTATTTATTTGAAATAAAATTACTAGCACTTTCACCTTAAAGGACACATATATTTTCTGGGCGCTAGAAAGTGTATTGGAAGGACTGTGCGACCAGGCCTCACGCTAGGTACTAGGAGGGCATCACTAACATAGAGAGCGGGTGGGCTGCTTAGCCTTACTTTTATTTCTTGTTCTGGAAAATTAAATTTGCGGCCATCAGAAACTAAGAGCAATACGATGCCTATGTAAAAGATGAAGACACGCTATTTGCTCTGTAGTTGGCACAAGGGGGGAAAGTATGGATCAAGATGGCAGACTGAACCCAGTGGCATGGGCACAATGAGTTCACTTCTTTTCTATCCCCGCATCCCATGAAATTCTGTCTGTCCATCTGTCCATCCGTGTCAGTCTGTCTGTCTGTCTCTCTCTCTCTTTAATTCAGGAGATCGTCAATAAATACCAAAGGAGTAAGGACACAAGGCCAATCCATGCCACCCTCACCCAGGGCCCCCTGTGGGGAAGGCACACAGCAGTGAGGCCACTGGCTAGGGCCACAGTGCAACTGTGGCTCTGGCCCAGACAAACCCGTCCAAATGGTGCACAAGAGAACGCGACATGGCATCCTAGCTTCAGGAGTGCCGTGCGCTGACCTGACAGAGCCAAGAGCATACTTTCTGCTACATTATATATCATGACGATAGGAGCGGACACTAATAACCAGGGAAACAAGAGAAGCTGAAGAGATACAACTCATCTTAGGCTGGTAGGTACAAAAGTCTCTCACCAGTATCCTTGTAAGGACAAGAATGTCTAAATATGTGAGTTAAAGGCAAGGTAACATTAAATTTCAATTTCTTCCTCTTCTGCTCTTAAAAATCTACTACTCTGAAATAAAACCCAATGTACTTATATGACACACTATGAAAATTAGGAGGGAAAATGATCTTGCCAATTTTACTGAACAAAATTGAGAGGCACAAGAGAGCATATGACATGTCCATAAACATTAAAGACCACAAGGGCACTCCGAACAAGCACAAGGTCTGGAGTTACCTGATCTAGCTCGGGCTCAGTAAGGGGACTCAAGCAGGTTGCGAAGGTGACGAGGACAAACTCAGTCTAATAACATGAAGGGGACATGGCAGCTGGCATGTAGGAGAGTGTGAAAGTCACAGAGAGCCTGTCCCCCTCCCTGACCGCTGCCTTGGTGGGGAAGCCCTCGCTCGAGTGCTTACCGGAATCCGGTTTCGGGATCTGAAGGCGGCAACTCTCCTGAGGTCTTCATCTGAGGTGCGATAAGGAACCATGAGGAGGGCCGGGTAGGTGTCGCAGAGCTCATAGCACTTGTTGATGAAAGTTAGCCTCCAGTTGTGGTTGGGCAGGCCCTGCAGGGAGACAGGAAGGCGAGCTCGGCTCAGTGCGACCTGTCCCCGGCTCTGATCCAGGTTCTCTTCTTTTTAATGTTAGGTGCACATGCCTGCGACCACAGGTGATGGCGGGTGTCTGCTTGTCACTAGGGGATCAAATCCAGGATCCAGACGACATAAGAGCACAAGACAAAGCACTGGTGGTTTCCATATAGTCTAAATTATCTTTGTAAATACAGATGCTTTTGAACAGGAGCTCTTTCTTTCATATTAGTATCCTTCACCACATGTACAACATAAACCCAAGTTGCCCCCACTGATGTACCGCCTCCACCCCAAGACAAGTATCATGTGTATTTTTGTTTTTATTCAGATAAGGTCTTGCTATGTGGTCCAGGCTGGCTTATGAACTCACTGCGTAGTGTATGCCAGCCTGGAACTCACAGCAATCCTCCTGCCTCAGCCTCCTGAGTACTGGGATGGCAGGCATGCACCACCATAACTGACTACCATGTGTAATTTTAACTGGCCTCTAATGGCTAGTAGAAGAGTTCAGGCACCTTCCTTTTTCCACTCAGAACAGTGAATCTTCGGTCTGCCCCCAGGAAGAAAGAGGCTGGGCACATGGAGAAAATCACAGAGGGGATGCAAAGGAAAACTTCCCCGGAGGCTCATTTCACCACCTCTGATGAGATTTTCAATCAAGATGCGTGGCTCTGACACCCGTCCTCTAGGGGGCGGGAGAAGTTGAGCGTGAAGCTTACTGCTCACCTCCCACTGCCTGCTCCCGGCAGGCCCCGCGCGCACAGAACGAGGCCCAGAGGTGGTGGAACATCCCCCCCCATACTCACAGATGCACAGACACACACAGAAGTGAGCTCAGTGGTGTGCGCTCTGGGGACAGACAGTGTACCTTTTCTTTAGGTCTGGCCCTATGGACCCCGGACCAGATGCTGAGTCTGATGCTGAGTCCAATTACAGAGTTTTAAGGCCCATCAGAGAATTATAAGAAAAAGAGATCGAATATAATGGCAGTCTCCAACAAAATTCCTTCGCCAGTTCATATATGCATGCAATCTTAAAAACAGGAGCTGTTCGGTTTCAAGCTAGGAGCTTTGAACTAAAGGAAAGTCTTAATGTTATCAACGATGCTCCAGAAATCAGATATTTTGATGTGTAATGTTACAGAGGTCTTAAACACATGGAAGCTATTTTTTTCTGGTACTGGTATTTGAAACTCCTGGCCCCTGAACTGATATATATCCCCAGCCCTTTTTATTTTTATTTTGGGGTCTTGCCAAGTCACTAAGCTGCCACGCTTGGGCTGGAAGGTACAATCTTCCTGCCTCAGCCTCCCAGAGTACTGGAGTTACAGGTGTGTGCTACTACATGCAGTACCAAATGTTTTGATGGTCTTTTTTTCCACCTCAGTAGCTGACGAAGGAAACAGGTCACAGAAAATGCGAGCTGTACACAGCTTTGAAAACTCAAAGCTCAATTATGGGAGAAACAGAACCCACGACCTCACGTGTTCTAGAGTAAAACTCTTGCACCCAAACCCTAGCGCATCCAATCTTCTTACAAATGTGTAAAACTAAACCAGGAAGTCAATGTCAACGTGGGCTCATGGTCGCAGAAAGGGGGCCAGAAGACTCTCCCCAAGCCCAAGCGTCTGCGGGGTTACATTTGCCACCTTCTCATGAACAAAGCAAGGGGACTTGATGTGATGCTCAGAGCTCATTCAACAATGCTTCCCAATTATTTTAACAATTTTATAGAAAAAGAATTAGAAAAATTCCATAGCAAAATGTCCAGTTTTCTACAGCTTTGGCTCTGCCACAGGTCAAAATGTGATTTTGTTATACATAATATGCCCACGCTCTTCATAAAAGTACTACAGGGGACGTTTGTCCCTCAACAGTAAAGCGGGATCATGCCTCTTGCCTTTTGTAGAGCAAACAGACATGCATGTAGGTGCAGTTTCCAGAAGACAGCAGTAAGGCTACTGAAACACATGCTCATCCAAGATTTTGCAGAAAAGACATCAGTACAGGGAAGACAGTTCTAATTCATCTGGCTCTGCAGTTCCATTTTGTATCTGTGTATTCAGAATGAATATAATTTAAATGTAAGCACAATTAATAGCTAGGCTCCTCACTGTACAAATAAATAATAATATCAGCTCCTAAAAAGATAGGAATGGAAAGCTTGACTTTGCTAGAATCCAACGATCATTTATTTCTTAAACACAAAACTGATTTTCTTGGGCTGGGAAGATAGCTCATGGTCTAAGCGCCTTCCTGGCCAGCGCAAGGACCTGGGTTTGATTCCCAGTACCGCATGCCCCACCAGCCCCACCAGGCACAGTGGTGCATGCCTGTAATCCCAGCACTGGGGAGACTGAGACAGGAGGATCACTATGAGTCCAAGCTGCGTAGCAAGACCCTGTATCAAATAAATGTTAAAAAATAAACTGATATTCCTTATGTGTGGAAGGAAACCACACAGCCACTTAGCTTTCAGTGCAGCTGGAATCTGGCTATGGAGTGAGCTCCTAAGTTTCACAGGGATACAAAATGTGGAGAGCACCGCTGCCATCAGAAGATCTCTAGCAAGGATGTCACCGGTCCTCAGAAAGCACAGCTGATGACATCCTGTCGCTCTGCATTATTGGAGGTTCAACATAAAGCAGACAAGAGTATCTACTGAACTTACCTGCCTCCGGTACTCTTCGACTGGATTATAAACAGTCCACCCATCCACATTAAACTTCTCTTCATTTAAAAATGCAAATAATGGCTAGAGAAGAGAAAAAAATTAAAGTTCAGCATGGAGAAACAGTCTATTAATAGTACATCCTTTGAGTTTTCACAAAATAAATCCCTCCAGGTTTGCTGACCATGAAACTACAGCCCCAACTGAAACTTACAGCAAAGAAACAGCAGTGGAAAATTCAGACCAGACTACACTAACTTCTGTCTTTGGGAACACGTACTTTTCAGACATTAATTTTCTATGGCTACAAACACCTCTTTTTTTTGTTTGTTTTAGTGGTGCTTCACGCACACACACACACGCAAATCAGATTTCCAGACCAAAATGTTCCTATTGGCTTTTAGCAATGTTAGCAATTGATTAGGTAAAACCCACTAAGAAACACATTTGTGAATGATTATTAAATAGTGCAACTCCGAAGACTACAATGACAAGCTTATCTACATCAAAAAGATGAGGCATTAGGGAAATTCATAATTAACTGCTCTCTGTGTGTTTTTAATCAATGTGCTATGGATCAATTTCCCAACTTCAAACACCACTGTGCCCTAGTGACAGGAAGTGCCTCAGCACTCCTGTGCCCCTCTGAACTAAGGACCCATATAGCTGTCCAGGTTTCTCATCCCCCCTCACGCCCTGACCGCCTTTGGAACCACCCTGGACGCTAAAACTAACACACAGGAAGCCCAGTGTGAACTCCACCTCCTGGTCCTGCTCTTTCCAGGCTCCGTGTACAGCCCAGACGGTCCCCTCCTTCTAGGTGACAGCCAAAAGCTAGAGCATTGTGTTTGTTGCCGCATGGCTACCAGCCCAATCTAAGCTCCGCCGGTGTCTTCCCAGCTTAGTATAATAACCTTCAACTGCTCCTCGTGTCACCTGTATACTCCAAGGGCTGAATAACAATGGCACAACCTAAGTCATATGGAGTTATTCCCCCGCCAAAACCCCCCGGGGGCTGTCCCTCTGGCTTAGGATAAAAGCAGAAGTCGTTCCAGTGGCTGAGGTGGCTGTGTGCCATCTGGTCACCTGCCTGCCACCAAGGTTCTGCAGTCCACCTTGTGCACTGCAGTGCAGCTGCACTGACTTCCTGTGCCTAAAAGCACCAAGGACGCCAGCCTCAGGGCCTTTGCACCTACGACTCTGCTACAGTTCTTTCCTCTTACGGCTTCCTTCTCACGTTCTGCACATTTCTGAGATCCTTCACAGAGAAGCACATGTGCCTTAAGACTACCATGTTAAGCGAAATAAATTAGATGCACAGGCTTAAATAACACATGGTCTCTCTTACGTGGGAAACCCAAAGTGAAAATAAATTAAAAGAAAAAATAAAAGTTCACAGGAAGCAGGGAGAGAAATGTTTTGCAAATGGGAAGGGAATGAATGGAGGGAGGAGGGAGGGAGAGAAGGGGAGGAGAATGCAGATGTGTTCTGCGCATGCCCCAACTCCACCCCCCCCCCCCAGGAATGGGATCATTATGCACTGTGAACATACTCCTACAGATCAACATTACAAAAGATAACCTTTGTCAGTAAGCCCCCAGCATCTTACACAAAATCAACATGCTGCCTGCAAGGCCACCCTTACTCCCCATCACTTAGGGCCATGTGATGCGTCATATGTGTGCTTATAGTTTACCTTTGGCCCCCACAGTCTCCTGCCTGCAACGCGGGCTCCATGCAGGCAGACCTTCACATCCTGTTTGCCCAAGAACCAGCACAGAAAACACCTGGCCCACGGCAAGTGGAACACATCTTTGTGCAGCGCACGGCACCACAGAGCTTTCCCTGCAGGTGCCATGCTCAGGCATGTTCCTGTAGGTCTGTCACTCCAACCCACTGTCCTCTGCTGGCCCAGCACTTGGAACCTGGGTTCCCCCGATGTATCACAGGGAACCGACGGGAGAGCACTGCTGCCAGCAGTGTGCCGTCCTAGATACGAAGGGGCGTAGGGTGAAAACTGACCAGGAACATGCCGGGGCATGTCGGCTTCCCCAGCCTGACACACATCCACCGAAGAGCTTAGTGTCTGACTGCTGTGCGCTCCACAATGGCCACCACTCTGCCCATGCATTAGGAATGACACTGACCTCGCTGAGCCACGCATCGAGGCTCTGGCCTGACACTGAATCCCTAGTGATACTTAATTATTCAGTACCACTGGGGAAAAGAAATGGCTCCCTGCTACCTCAAGTTGGACTCAGGAAGACAGCTTACCATAAAAGAGCAACAGAACGTTTGGCGGTTTTTGCTATCCATCAACAAAGCCACAGGACATGCCGAAGCACTGTCTCAGTGACAGACCATCACTCTGAGGATCTGCTATGACATAGTTAGCACCTGGATCCAGGAGGCACTTGATGGCACTCAGCACCATGTCACACACAGTAGCAGATGCCAGACGAGGGACTGACCTTAGGAGCACCTAGAACCCGCTTCTGTTGATGAGCTCCTGCCTGCTACAGTACTCCTGCTCCATTTGCTTATTTGCATCTTTCCTGCGAAACTCAAGACAGTGTAGTGGCCTTTTAAAAATGAAGCAATACCAGAAACACTTTATTCTTGGGGTCAAGAGGCAGGCTTGGACCCCAAATATTCTAGGACAATATATGAGCCACGCATCTGTCAAATATTTCTCATCATAAAATAACATGGCAATACATCTGTACTGCAGCAGAGATCAGCATGGAAAGGACCGGGTGTTTAAAATTTTCATCATCCAAGTAAATTCAGTTGCAATTACAGGAAGACATTTTTAAAAATATTACTGGCTGGTGTTGATGCTGTGCTTTTTCTTTGAAGACTGGGTCTTCTATAAGGTAATTGGTTTAGCTGAAGCAAACTTTTTTTTGAGACAGGGTCTCCTTATGTAGTTCAAAATGGCCTTGAATTCACTACGTAGCCTGGGTTGGCCTCAAGCTCACAACAATCCTCCTGCCTCAGTCTCCCAAGTGCTCAGATTATAGGTGTGTGCCACTATGCTCAACTGAAGCAAGCATTCTCTCTTTTTTTTAAAAGTGTATTTAGTATAAGGTCTACAGGGTCTCCCTACACAGATCAGAGTGTAATGATCCTATTTGCAGCCTCCCAAGCACTGGGATTACAGGCACGTGCCACTACGCCCAGTCTCAATCACCATCACAGCATGCCCAGGGGGCGGGGGCTGGCACGGCAGGCAGGGGATCAAACCCTGGTACTTGTGTCTGTCCAAGCAGGTGCTTTAATCCACTGAGCTATCTGGCCGGCCCAAAGCAAGCACTCTAAAAGAAATCATGGTGATATTTTCTAAAGTGGAATACAGCAGGGCTTACTTTCAAGATATTTTAATTTTTCCATATAGATTCAGGTAAAAGAACAAAGAGTTTCAAAATATAAGCTGTCAGTGGAGAAACAAAAGGTAGACTACCACAAAAGCAAAACACACAGCACGTGTTCAAGTGAGGCTAAGCAAAGCCATTCATCGCTATAGCATTAGTAAAAAGTGCAAAGTTCCCTACAAGTGCTAACTTGTTACAAGCCTAATTAAAGCTCCTGTCTGAAAACTGCTCAGACTTGAACTGAGCCTATTACACGTCTTGAGAGTTTTAGCTGCCATTTATTTTCTCTTCCAGGTAACACATTTTTAAAGGCTTGAATTTCTTTGTGCTTTATTGGTAGATACTGAGATCATCGTTGCTGGATACAACCTCAGGTGGGTCCGTCCGGGAAGTGGAAGTGAGCACCGGTGGTGGGGGAGCTTTCGTTCTAAGCCGCATGCAGGGAGTCTTGTTTGCCTAACTTCTGGATGACGAGAAAATCTACTCCATGAACCGGCAGGCCACTGATTATCATTTCTTTGCCTACAGGAAACTCGCGAAGGATTTGGCCCCCTAGCGGAGTCCTGCCATGGGTGGTGTTCTGTGAGGCCTCAGCTTCTGTAGCAGGCTGGGGCGCGGCCCAGGGCTCTGCCTCAAGAGCCCAGATGGGTGGGGGTGCTGTCACAAGACACCCATGGAGGCCTGTGTCCTACCTGACAGATCTCCAGCCCGAATCCCCAGAGGTGACAGCCATACAGGCCTGGTCCTTACAGGGCCACTGGGGACACAGCCAACACCCTTGGGAAGGCTATGGTCAAGTTATGGGTGGGGGAGGAGGGGTTGATCCGCTTTGACCGAAGATCACTTGCAGTAGCAATGGAATGGGTTCACAGCTCGCTGCAAAGAAGAGCACAGGGCTCCCCACATGCCCTCCAGCCAGCCTCTCCGGGTCTCAGCACAGTGCAATGCCCAGAAATGCACGGCAGAACGCGCTCCAGTGTCCAGCCCAGCTTCCTCAGGGGTGTCTTCTCCTCTTCTGTTCTGTGTTGGTATTTGGGCATCTCACCCATTCCACTCTCAACTAGTCAAAAGATGTGCCTGGAGATTTTTTAAAAAGCAATCATGTGCATTTTTCCAGATTAAAAATAGCACAATGTAACATTTGAAAAATGTTAAAGGACAAAGTTGAGACGAAAGTTTGATTTCGCACTCTGGATAAAAACAGCTTTGACACAGGGAATAGAATTTGTCATTTTAATTTAGCTACACTTAACACTGTTGTGTTCTGAGAGAAAAACTTCAAAATAACAACAGATTTTAGCTTTCACATAATTACACATTAGTTTTAAATGGCACCTATATAAAGATGTACTAATCTGATTAAAACATCTAGACTGGGAATTCTTTTAATTTAGTGAATCTATAACTGTGCATTGGCTCCTGGTTCTCCTTTGGTGGGAGGGGCAGCCTGTCTGTCACCGACTCACGAGTCCACTTCCTTAAAGACGCAACAGGGGCCCAGAACTTACAGCCAGGTTGGAAAAAACTCACCATCCTTTCAAACTGGAGAGTGGTAAAAAAGAAAATCAACTGTACAGTCCTCAGGGGACTACAATGTACATGTAGAGAACTTGCACACAGCCAGGTAGGGTGCTATGCACCTGCTACCCAGCACTGGGAAGGCTGAGGCAGGAGGCTTGCTGAGAACAGGATGACAGCCTGGAGCACAGA